TGAGACAACTATATTTTTTCTCACTTTAACTTATTGCACCAGTTCACCAGTGCAGCTAAAAAGAACAGACCAATTGGCTCCGGGGGAATAAAGTTTCCCCATACGCCATTTCTTATCCGTGTATTCGATTTGCATGATAGCACTGGAAAAAGGAAAGTGAATCCGCATGAAACTTACACTGAAACAAAAACCGAACGAACTTATTTGCCAACCCAATATATAAGTAGTAATATTTAGATAGAAAACAATTTTTGGTAATTGTGAAGAATACGGCCCTCCTCACCAAATTTGCTATAACTTCGCACAATTGTGTATTTTGGTGCGTAGAATGTGATTTTGCAAGAAAAAAATGTCGCTCTCAAATGGATCAAAAGTTATAAAAATTTGAAAAATACACGCATGGGATTAGGAAATCTGTCATGCCGATAATACAGACTAATGGAGGATTCACACTTCCAATGGAGAATTGAATTCTCCATTGAAAAGCTACTCTCCTATTGGATGTCAGACGTCGTACGTCGAACATCGGACGCAGTGTGAATCCTCCATAACTGAGAAGCATGCGTAATGCCTTAAGGCCTATCCAGACAATCTTGCATAAGCGCGTAACGCATATGCATAAGGAAATTGACCAATTATGATCCGTGTAGTAAAAAAATATTTTTTGTATTAAACATACGATTAGTCAATTTCCTTATGCATATGCGTTACGCGCTTATGCAAGTTTGTCTGGATAAGCCTTTAAAGTGTAAGGGCCAAACATAGACTTCTGCATAACGCATAATAATCAACCAATCAGGGTTCTTCATTTCTATCCTGAGGAGGGAAATGAAGAAAACTAATTGGTTTATTCTCTTATGCGTTATGTATTATGCGTTATGTATTATGCGTTATGCAGAAGTCTGTGCTCTGGCCCTAAAGGCCTATCCAGACAAACTTGCATAAGCGCGTAACGCATATGGATAAGGAAATTGACTAATCGTATGTTTAATACAAAAAATATTTTTTTACTACACGGATCATAATTGGTCAATTTCCTTATGCATATGCGTTACGCGCTTATGCAAGTTTGTCTGGATAGGCCTTAAGAGAATACATATAAGCGAGGCAGGGGCTCCACCTTTCCCCCCATACTTTCTCCACAAAGAAATCCTAATCTAACCAAACTTATCGCATCGTTATTAGATGTTGGGCGTGGGTTTTAAAAATTATAATCTTTTCAACAATGTCCGATAATATACAGGGTGTTTGATAGCTGATCATGCAGACGAAAGTTGGAGATAGATTGGGTGTAGCCGAGAAGAAAAGTCATATACCATAATGTCAAATTGGCAATAGTTACCGAGTTATTAATTAAAACATGTGAGCCAACGAGCGCGTAGAGAGCGGAGGGCGGCCGCAGTAAGCACGTAAACATTTAATACAGGCGGAGTCAGTGAGTAGCGGTAGACAGGCGCGCGCGGCGAGGGGCAACGTAAGCGACAAGAGGCGATCGCGCGCGACGAGGAGCGAGCGAGCTTTTTCTTTACAGCTTTTTCTTTATAGCTCGCTCGCCTCTTGTCGCTTGCGCTCGCTCGCTCCTCGTCGCCTCTTGTCGCTTATGTTGCCTCTCGCCGCGCGCGCTCGCCTACCACCACTCGCTGACTCCGCCTGTATCAAATGTCTACGTGCTTACTGCGGCCGCCCTCCGCTCTCTACGCGCTCGTTGGCTCACATGTTTTAATTAATAACTCGGTAACTATTGCCAATTTGACATTATGGTACATGACTTTTCTTCTCGGCTACACCCAATCTATCTCCAACTTTCGTCTGCATGATCAGCTATCAAACACCCTGTATAAAGATGCAATAAGTTGGGTTAGATTAGGTTTTCTTTGGGGAGAAAGTGTGGGGGAGGAGCCCATCCCCCGCTTAAAAGAACAAAAAGAACAATTTCCTAATTTCGCGTGTATCATTTTTTATCATTTCATAACTTTCGATCTATTTGTGAGCGACATTTTTCTTTCAAAATTATCACAATTATCCAATTCTTTTTAAATGTACGTAATCTTAATCCCGGTATGATTCTTCCATAAAATATAAGATTCACACACAGAGATATTTTAATAAATCAGTTAACTTGCTTATACAAATCTTTGCCATCCTCGTTGCTTGCTAATTATACAACTTATATAATTAAATTTGTAATAATATGTTTCTGGAACAATCAGACACCAGTACGCGTGCAACACGTCCAAGTAACATCAAAGAAGTGGCCGCGTTCAGCAGAGAAAGCAGTTTACCAAGCCACAGTATAAGAAAGAAAAGTAGATTCACTCAGCACAAAATAATGCGGACGATCGTTTGTCGCGCATGACCGAACTGCACAACCAACAATATGGCAGCCAATAGCTGTCAAAATGTATAAAACGGGAAACACACACTCTTACATACAGGCATAATGCACAACGCATAAGGAAATAAACCAATCAGAATCCTCATTTCTATTGCCACGCTTGAAATGAAAGACTCTGATTGGTTCATTTCCTTATGCGTTGTGCATTATGCCTTTATGTAAAAGTGTGTGTTTTCTACTTAAATGTAAGCAACGATTAACCATATGATCGAATTTTTAATATAATATTGTTGTTTTATTAAAATCAGTAAAATGAATGAAAGAGGTGGGTATAAATGTTGTATAATAAACTGCAAAAGTGCAAATTTAAATTTGCAAAGTGTTAAATTTTATTTTAATCAAAATGTGTCCCCTTCGAAATAATATAATGTAAAAAAAGCGAACCTCTATATCATTTATATCATTTTCGAGATTTTTATCTGTTACGATTGAAATTTAACATTCTATATATCTTTCTATATTATAACTAGTAATATGCTATATGTTATTAATTATAATATTATTAACATATATTAATAATAGTTCATATTTTTATATTATTTTATGTATATTATAGATTTGACAGTAAATATTGAAAAACAGCAATAAATCTGTTTTACGAGGGTAGTCCCAGAAGTACCCGACCTAACAAAGAAAATACAAAAAAATTTGGGAAAAAATATCTTTATTTCTCTACATAGTCTCCTTTTAGCTCAATACACTTTTCCCAGCGATGTTCAATAGCTTCGATACCCTGTTTATAGTGGGAATCGACGAGTTCCTCAAAATAGCCATCAACCGCAGACTTCACCTCTTTATTGTTGGCAAATCTTTTACCACCGAGCCATTTTTTCAAGTTTGGAAACAGAAAATAATTCGAGGGGGCTAAATCTGGCGAATAGGGTGCGTGAGGAAGCAATTCGAACTTTAACTCATTGATTTTGGCCATCGCGATAACGGATGTGTGAACTAGTGCATCGTCTTGATAAAACAAAACTTTCTTTTTCGCCAGATGCGGCCGTTTTTTTTTTATTTCATTACTCAAACGTTGCAATAAGTTCGCATAATACTCGCCGTTGATTGTTTTTCCTTTCTGAAGATAGTCAATGAAAATTATCCCACGCGCATCCCAAAAAACTGACGCCATGACCTTGCCTGCAGATGGAACTGTCTTCGCCTTCTTTGGAGGCGATTCTCCTCTTTCAGTCCATTGTTTTGACTGTTCCTTCGTCTCAGGTGTAAAGTGATGGACCCATGTTTCATCCATGGTTATGAATCGACGCAAAAACTCAGCTTTATTGCTGTGAAACTTCGCCAAACACTCCATTGAAACATCCTCACGACGCTGTTTTTGTTCCATTGTGAGTAATCGCGGCACCCATCTTACGCACAGCTTTCTCATGTCCAAATTTTCAGTCAATATGCAATGTACAGCACTTTTTGAAACGCCTACCATGTCTGCTAATTCGCGCACTTTCAGTCGACGGTCATCCAATAACATTTTGTGGATTTTCTTCACCACTTCTGGCGTGGCCACCTCATTTGGTCGACCACTGCGATGTTCGTCTTGGCAGCTCGTACGGCCTCGTTTAAACTCTGCCACCCAATATTTTACTGTTGTAAACGAAGGAGCAGACTCCCCCAGAGTAGAATCTAGCTCCGCTTTGATATTGGTTGGACTGAGGCCTTTCAAATGAAAGTATTGTATTACATAACGATGACTAATTTTGTCCATGTTTACAAATTCACTGAAAGCGTTCACTATTGATGGCTGCCAAACAAATACTAAACAACGTAGCGTTATCAAACTTCAAACTTAAGCTTTATAAGGTTGGTACTTTCTACCATAGTCAATCTTTTCAAACAACAGCCGCCATCTATACGTCAGCTCGGGTACTTCTGGGACTATCCTCGTAGCTACTATTCATTGTCATTCAAATTATAACTCGCGCACAACCAATAACACGGCGGTCTTGTAGCACCTGAGATCAAAAGCACCGCCACCGAGTGAGGGTAAGAGCACAGGCATTTGCATACACATATAAGAAATAGACCAACCACAATCGATTATTATAAGAATAATCGATTATGGTTGGTCCATTTCTTACTGCTTACGCTTAGAACCTTATTCTTGCAGCCATTGTAGATAGACCTTTAAAGCGTGGTCTACAATGGCCGTAAGCAGTAAGAAGAAAGCGTGAACAGTAAGAAATGAACTAACCACAGTTGATTATTTTTGTCATAATCAGCTGTGATTGATCTATTTCTTACCGCTTACGCTTACTTTTTACTGCTTACTGCCATTGTAGACCACGCTTAAAGTCATTCTACAATACGTGTCATAAGTTCTAAGCCGTAAAAATTGGCGAATCACAGTCGATTATTACAAAAATCTATAATTGGTCAGTTCTTACGGCTTACAACTTACGACACGTATTGTAGAATGACCTTTACGCGACCAGCGTGCACCGAACGGCAATTATCTTATAATTGTTCCCATAAATTATTTTGTGCGCGCCGCGACTCTCGGCTTGCGGCTTCATAAGCCGAGAGTAATACCGTTTCTCTAATCCCGTTCCCATATCGTATCCTTCGTAACATTGTCACTGTCGCGGATGAAACGCGAACGAGCGAGCGACCAGATTGGCAAAGTCTCGATCCACATCGCGAATAGTAGACTGTATACTCGCGGACATAATAGTAAGTGCCCGTTTTTTTGCATCTTTCGGAACGCATCCCGACCATAGATATAGGAATATAGAGATGGAGCGTGAACTCAGTACTTAGACAAGGAGGGTGAAGCCACTGAGGGAGGAGCGACGAGGTAAAGTGTGTGCATTTTTCATTGGATGAAATGATGCACAGACGCAATGACGCTGAATACAACACATTCTAATGTATATTCTTACAAGGCCCGATTAACATACATTATTTACATACCTTTAAATAATACAATTTTATTGAATATATGACTATAAACACATACATACATGCATTCAGTGTTAAAAAATTGCTTTTTAAAAATAATTCATTGCACCCAGATACCACAAATTATCCCTATATTGTTTTAGACACACTTAAGATATCTTAGGATACTCCTAGGATATTTTAGGATATTCTTTACTCTTTACTTATGTTCGTCATTGGATATATTATGGTAGACGATTTTTTAATATCTTATATTATCTAAGCTATTACCTATTAGGAAAGCTTACAATTATTTCTTGTAATAACAAATCTAATTTTATTTCTTATCTACACTGCTGTGTTTCACTTCCTATAACCTCTTCACAATGTTTCTCTGTTTATATATGCTACACGCATGCATACAATAACAACCAATGAAAAGTGCTCACACTTTACCTCGTCACCCTCCCCGCAATGGCTTCAATCCCCGAGCTTACGCTCCATCTCTATATTCCTATATCTATGATCCCGACTCGTAAAGAATGGGTGCGTTCAGCGGAGAAAACCGCTCAATGAGCGATTAGTGACTATTGGTCCTTACTGTTAGATCCTTACATTCAGACCAATAACGTTGACGAATTACTCAACAGTTGTGCAACTGTTGAGTGTCGTGAACGCACCCAATGGGTGCATTCAGTACTACAACCACTCACTGAGCGTTAAGTGAGCTCTTGCATCTGATTGGTGTATATTTTTAAGTCTAAAGGAATATACCAATCAAATATAAAAACTCATTGAGCGCTCAGTGAGTGGTTATAGTACTGAATGCACTCAATGGTTGCGTTCAGAAAATAAAACGCTCACTGAGCGCTCAGTAACTATTGGTCCTTACTGTTAGATTCTTACATTCAGACCAACAACGTTGGCGAATTACTCAACCGTTGTGTAACCGTTGTATTTTCTGAACGTAGCCAATGAGTCACTGCTCCGCCTGCGGAGCACGCTTACGCAGTGACTGATAACGAAAGGCGAGAAATGAAATATACGCGGTGAAACATATTATAATAATACAGACTCGGATGAAATGAATACTTCAGCATTAAATAGAAATGAAGGAACACAGAACAATCACAGACAAGAATCATCCGATGTAAGTCTTATACTCCGGGGGATATCCGAAAAAGGTAGAGATAAATAGACATGTTTGTTTTTAAAATAATACGAACTTAATTAAGAGAATTAAGCTGCATTACGATAGTTACGATTCTGTTATACATTTATATGTGATTTATTGTTTCAGCAACAGCCATCTTCTATAGCAGAAGCAATGATATTAGATACAGAAGCAGCTGTTATAGCGAATTTTGAATTTTTGGGACATGGACGAGGAAGGAGATGGAGAGGATAAAATTTGATGCAAATACAGATACCAAATCAAATAAAGTAACGTTTACTATCATCTTGCATTTTAATAATATTGTTCACGCTATTTGTTAACATAATTTCTTATTTTTTAGGCATCTATCCCCCTTCTAGCAGAAGATGTTGATATAGATGCAGAGGCAGAAGAAGTATTAAATGAATTAAATCTCACAGAAATTGAAGAATCGCCACCTGGTTCTATCCATCTGGAAATGAATTCTTCAAAGTGGTTAGTAAATCCCTTTTTACTCGTGTACTGTAAGATAAAATATAAACCTATTACAATAATAGATATTTTGTAATATTGTCACATATAATCACATAATCTAATGATGCCTGTAGATTTTTTACATAGAGCAAAGCTCGGTAAACTTTACAACTTTCGGCCGATTTTCGGAAGCTACGCCTTCTATCTCCCCTTACCGCGCGGCGGATCCAGCAACTGACGGTCGCGGCTCGCGACCTCAGGACCGTTGAAATCATAAGGCGCATCGATGTGGTTAAAAAAAAAAAATGCGTCGGCAATAGTACCTCATGGGTGACGAGAAAACCTATTATGTTACCTTCTAATTATAAAAATGTAAGAAAAAAAAATATATATACTTATACAAGTATATATTTGTACATATTTGTACGAAATATTACACATATAGTTGTATCGATACATTTATTTTTCAGCCTTTGAGGTGCGTTAATGGAGCGCGTTATCAACGTTAACACGTTATTTTATCTTTATCGCTCATTACATGTACAAGGATTGAATGACGCGTTAGCGCTGATCGATGTGCTCCCCGAACGCATCTTTCGTCAGCATCACATAGATGCGCTTTATGATCTCAACGGTCTTGAGGTCGCGAGCCGCGACCGTCAGTTGCTGGATCCGCCGCGCGGTAAGGGGAGATAGAAGGCGTATCTTCCGAAAATCGGCCGAAAGTTGTAAACTTTACCGAGGTCTGACATAGAGAATTACAACAAGATCCAAGACACCCAAATAATAAAGAAGGCGATGACTTCACGCTGGAATTAGGAGAATTAGAACAATTATGTATTAACAATGATGCAGAAAAAAAAATCTTCCGCTAAAAGGGGGTAGATGCTTGAAAAATAAGAAATTATGTTAACAAATAGCGTGAACAATATCATAAAAACGCAAGATGATAGTAAACGTTACTTTACTTGATTTGGTATCTGTATTTGTATCATAAATTTCATCCTCTCCATCTCCTTCTTTCTCTTCCATGTCCATGTCCCAAAAATTCAAAATTCGCTATAACAGCTGCTTCTGTATCTAATATCATTGCTTCTGCTATAGAAGATGGCTGTTGCTGAAACAATAAATCACATATAAATGTATAACAGAATCGTAACTATCGTAACGCAGCTTAATTCTCTTAATTAAGTTCGTATTGTTTTAAAAACATAAACATGTTTATTTATCTCTACCTTTTTCGGATGTCCCCCGGAGTATAAAACTTACATTGGATGATTCTTGTTTGTGATTGTTCTGTGTTCCCTCCATTTTCATTTCCATTTAATGCTGGAGTATTCATTTCATCTGAGTCTGTATTCATTTCCCCATTTTTGCAGCCTTTACTGAGAAAAAGTCATCAGATGTCCAGAAATCTTAAATATTATACAATTCTATTATTTGTTCTCGCAAAATTCTTTTTAGAATAGTGGTTGCTGGAGTAAAAGGATCTTTCAATGCTTAGATTTTCACAGTATTTTTTAAAGCCACAAATGTGTTGTCGCAATTTTCGTCCGAATTAGTAAATACTATACCAGGAGAGTCCAGCAGTTTTATTTTTGAATCTAATTGAACTGCTTGCATTGTTTTTGTTATTCCTGTAAGTAGAAACAAATTAAACGATTATTTAATTAAAAGATGGAGACAGTTAAGTCAAAGCTGCTTCAAGAAAAATGTAAGGTAATAATAATTACAACAGAAAAAGAGACATGTACACTTCAAATATAAAGCTGTTGAATTTTTGACAAAATTTAAAAATTATTTGCACAAAGGGAAAAAGGTGCTAAGAAATAATTAACTATCTAATAATTACCTAGCATGTTTCCGACATTGCAAGCTTTACTGCGTTTTAAGGAATTAATAACACTAGATTTGCCTATGTTCGGAAGTCCAACAATTCCTACTCTGATACTTGTCTTTACATTGCCACTGTTTCTGCAGTAATTTCCAAGTAAAAACAATGCGTCAAAACAGATATTGCTTTATATCATGGATTCTGTTCTTCAACCTAGCATTCTCCGACCCAACCATTTCGCTTGACTTTGTGTGGATGATTTAAACACTACGGTTGGCAAACTCACTCTCAAATACTTTAGGCATTGATCTAGATTTTCTCTAAGTACTAGATCTGCTTTATTCAAAACTAATATCAATCTTTTGTTTCCTTTTGCAGATCTGACTGCTTCTTCCACCTACATAAAAGTATATATAAAAGTAAACATTTATTAATAAATTTATCAGTCCGTATGTATTCATATTTCTGGTTGATTTAAGTATCTGTTTACAGCGTGTTCCTAATAGATCACGTGCATCCATAACCTCAATAACATCAGCAGCATCCAAAACTTTTCTGAATTCCTTGTAATAGGCTTTCAGTAAATTTTCTTCCTTGGATACAGTTTCTTTAATTTTATCTTGGATAGAATTTACAACTATGTGGTTGTATGGCAGTTGTTTACTCTCAGCCTGACTAACTAGTCTTTCAAGACCAATCTTGGCAAGTTTTTCAAATCAAAATACAATGCCACATATCAACTTGCTTGTTAATATAAATGTATATGCACAAAAATCTTAAAGGTGTTAACTTACTTTTATGTCTCTTGGCTTCTTTTTTCATGTTACAATTGTGCTCATGAACTTTCTTCTCGATCTTATATTCCTTCCGCGCTGATGTACGTTTACCTTGCTTGTCTAAATATATATAAGTAGTAATATTTAGATAGAAAACAATTTTTTTTAAATGTATGTAACCTTAATCCCGGTATGAATCTTTCACAAAATGTAAGATTCATACACAGAGATGTTTTAATAAATCAATTAACTTACTCAGACAAAACTTTGCCATCCTCGTTGCTTGTTAATTATACAACTTGTATAATTAATTTTGTAACAATAATGTGTTTCTAGAACAATCAGACACCAATACGCGTACAACGCGTGCAAGTAACATTAGAGAAATGGCCATCAGCAGAAATGGCATTCAGCAGCAAAAGCAGTTTCATCAAGCGTTGCTTCGATTGCATTCAGAGAACAAAGCGCTCATTGAACGACTAGTGACTATCGGTCTTTACTGTTAGATCCTTATATTCTGTCCAATAATGGTTGCGTTCAGAAAATAAAGCGTTCACTGAGCGGTTAGTAACTAATGGTCCTTACTGTTAGATCCTTACATTCAGACCAATAACGTTGACGAATTACTCAACCGTTGTGTGTAACCGGCGTGTTTTCTGAACGCAGCCAATGTTAACGAACTACTCAACCGTTGTGTTTTCTGAACGCAGCCAGTGATTATTATCTATGATTGAGTATTCCTTTAATGGGGCCAGGAGAACGAACCAATCAAAAACGATAGACATTAAGCTCTTAGGCCCAGTTCCACAACTTGCTTTAAACGGAGTTTAAAGCAAGTTGTGGAACTGGGCCTTAGCAAGCAGCTTTTTCTGCTGAATGCTGCCAACGTAAGTTCCATACATTAGCGACGACAGTTTTTCACGCTTATATTATATCAAAAGTGCTGAAAAAAGTATTTGCATCAAATAAAAATAGAATAGCATTTATTATTCTATTATGGCATTTATTGTTGTTCCTAAAAATATTTTTTACAAGTTAAAATTAAAATTTAACAAAAATTCTAATTTACGAACTCAGATATAAATTCAAACTTTATTGTAAAGTTGATAAGACGTACGAGATAAGAGGTGTATATAATAAACATAATTAAGTGATTTATATATACATAATAAACATAATTAAATGATTTATAAATTTGCATACACACACAAATATTATTATAAAAATGACTTAATCTGCTGCTGATTAATCTGCTTATGACTTTTGAAATTCTATAACTTGTTATTCATGTGCATATTTTTAACAACAGGTAACATATATAGATTTGAAAAAACATCGGACCTGAGAAGCTTACATTTTGCAGTCGGTTGTCGTGAGATTCGCGGAATTTTTATTTGTCGTACGTCGCGATTGAGAAAATTTAATTTCCTTCTAGGTAGGAGGCAACTGTCGCGCGAGTAGCTTGGACCGAACGGCAATTATCAGTTCGGACGGTGAAAGGCGACGTGCCTGTATGCACATAAGGATTCTCACACTTTCATCTCGTCTTGTAAGGGACGCGCGTTTGGCGGAATGAAGACAAGGCCCGTACGGGCGGCCGGGGCGGATTAGAAATTCCCATAAATTATTTTGCGCATGCCGTGAAACGACTCTCGTTCGCGGCTTCAGAAGCCGAGAGTAATACAGTTTCTCACCGTCCTCACATCGTATCCTTCGTAACATTGTCACCGTCGTGGATGAAATGCGAGCGAGCGAGCGACCAGGTCGGCAAAGTCTCTGTCGATCCACATCGCGAAGAATAGACTGCACATTCAAAGACGCCGTTCGAACAAGTCCTGGAAATCTTTACGAAGCGAGAGGAAAAGAGAAAGAGCCACTACAGTGTCCATCGAAGATCAACCTCGCAAATTACAGATCTCTCTTGACTCCTCTTCGCCCATTAACATTCGCCTTCGTGTTTCGTGCGAGAGAAACCTTGGCGCCGATAATTTAGTCCCCTTGTTCATTCCAGAGAGATTCGTCAAGATGATCAAATACATTCTCGCATTGTCCGATTACTCGAGGACCACAGCTGCGATTCGCAGGCATTCGCTAGCAGCTACGCGAGTGGGATTCGCGTAAGTACTTTCACGTTTCTAACGTTGATCGCGCGTATTCGAAATTGCCGCGTCCCCACCGCCGCGCCGCGCTGCGGTCGCGCCGCCGGCCGGCGGTGGGGCGGCGTGTTTCGGGCTATCGGCGTGCGGTGGCGCTGGCGCGTTCGCCGCGGCGACTCATTCCCGTAATGGCTGCCGTGTGGCGTTGTCAGTGAGTGCGGGTGCCCGTCGTGAGAAGTTGCTACGTCGGGAAGCTCCGAGAGTTGCGGTCGCGGGACCTCGAATGCGAGGACGGCTAATGCGTTAGCGAACGGTGGAGCCGCGGTTTAGTGCGGGGTTGCGTGCCCGATGTGTCACGTTGTCGTGAGTGATTGACTCGCGCCAGCGGCGATTTAAAAGCAGCGACTGCAGCTCTGCAGTTAGTGGTGTGCTACCCCTCTGCGTCTCTCTCCACTCTCTCTCTCTCTCTCTCTCTGTCTTTTATCATTCTCTCTCTCGCTCTATCTGTGTGTGTCACTTCCCTGTTAGCTTCCTCCGTCGCTCCGACGTCTATCTGTTTACTGGACGCATCGACCGTGAAGAAGAGTCGTCCGAAAATCGTGAAGCGCGTCCTCTCGCCGCCTCTCGCGGATGCATGCATCGCGTGGACGCGCCGCTACCGACGAGGCATCGGCGGGTTCTCGCGCGTCCCGCGATGATAAACACACCGAGTGACAGCGTGCGCGAGTGAGAGCAGCCGCACGTACGTTCGTTCGCTCGCTCTCTCGGTAGATCTTTTCGACTCGTCCGTTATCAGCCTGCGAGAGCGAGCGTTGCCGTTTGGCCGCCGGCCGCGGACTCGAATTCTCCCTCACGTGGTTCAAGGTCGTCTAAAAGCATCCGGACGTCACGATCTCCGCGGCGCCGACTGCGGCCGGTGCGAGAATTCTCGATTATTCGGGATATCGGAGCACGTCCGACAGCTTCCTCGGTCGACGACGAGGTCGACGCCGACGACGACGACGACGACGACGACGACGACGACGACGACGCCGACGACGACGACGACGACGACGACGACGACGACGACGACGACGACGACGACGACGACGACGACGACGGCGACGACGACGACGACGACGACGACGACGACGACGACGACGACGACGGCGACGACGACGACGACGACGACGACGACGACGACGAGGTGGACAACGCAGCGGCGAGACGCGGTCGCGCGACTCCGAGCGTGACAACGACGGCGACGACGGCGACGGCGACGACGACGTCAAGGACGAGGTTCGCCAGAATCCGATGCACCGTGTGAGTATCAAGTGTCAAGTTTTACTCGCTTTTAGAATCTCCGCGAATGTCATTCCCAGGGATGTAATTAAGACACGATCATAAAGGAGCGCCGTGTGTTTGTTTACACATATATTTCGCGATGTCACGCGCGTCGGTTCTTTATCAGTCTCGTTGCGATTGTGAATAAGACTTTACATCCGACGTCCTTGCGTATTTTACAATGCGCGCGTTTTCGTCTTTGCGTGCTCTTCGGCGTCACATGTGCGGTGAGACGTCGCGTTAGTTTCTCTATTCGTTTTTACCCTCTCCCCCCTCCTTCCCTCCCTTCCTCTTCAAGGACGTGGGTTCTTCAAAGCCGAAGGAAGCTGCCTTCTAATCTCGGGCAATTTTACGACGAATTTATTTATTCGCAGTAATGCTCGCGTCATATTTTGCCGAGATGTTCGAACGAAGGGAGAAAAAGTGGAAAAATTAAACACAGAAAAAGTTGAACTTTGGGAAGTATATTAAAATGTGTCGTTACCTTCGGAACAATTAAACACGATGACGAAATAAGGCGCAGCGCAGGTCGGACCACGCAAGGACGATACGTCTGACGCGACACACATACACACACACACACCAGGCAGGCGCAAATTTGCAACGACCGAATTTATAGAGCGTGAAAAATATTGGAAAACTTTTAATCGCGATGCACGTCGCAGCGCGCGGATATTTAAATTCTCAGCTACGACGGACGCATCGCTGTCGCGTGCGGCGATAACTGATAGCCGCGCGAAAATGCTCTCTCGGATGTCTCTCGAGCGAGCGAGCGAGTGAGCGAGCAAACGCCGAGGTGGTTAACGGTAATTAGCAAATAATTAGCGCCACAATTAACTTTCATCCGGGGCCCGCGGCTGTTCGTTTCCCGAGCGAGAGCTCTCGCACTCTTTTGTTCCGCGACGCTAATTAAAACCGACCGACCGACGCGGCCCGCGCCACGCACCGGCTTCGTCGCTCATCGAGACTTTGTTGTTTACTCGTGGCGAATAAGTCGACGAGAGATGCTTCCACCGGCTTCCATCGCTCGCGAATCGCTTCCTCTTGGCTGCGTCCTAAAGACTATGACGACGACGACGACGGATTGCTCATTTGCTCGACGAGCATCGACTAACGAGCCGCGGCACGTGAAAATGGCTCTTATCCGCGTGTATCTGGGTGTATCCGCGTGTGCGGATGCGATGAAAGCTCCGACGTCTGTTAAATGAGCTGCCGCTATCTGCGATTGTATTATCTGCGATCCGTGGCACGGGCAAGCTCTGGATGCATTCTTATCTGCGACATGTACCTAGGGGTTGCCAAATCCGAAAGTTAAAATTACCGGACATTTCTTCTTTAAGATAACAAACCTCCCAAACTGGACTAAACCGGACAGAAATAATAATCATAACGTTACATTAAATACAAAATATGACGCAATTTATTTGCAATATTAATTGCCAAACAATTTTATAAACAAGATTTGATTGAATAAAATAATAAATCATTACTTTTTTAATATATATAGAATGATGGATCGGCAGGTCATCTAGTAGATGGCTTTTCGTGTGCCGCCCGATCGTTTGTAGGCGCTTGAGACGGAGAAACGTTGCTAAAATCTGAACTCTCACTCCGTTGATTGGATATAACTTAAAAACCGGACACATGACGTCCGGTTTGACTTGTTAACCGGAACACTGGGCAAGACTTTCTGCAAACCTGACAGTCCGGGTCAAAACCGGACAGTTGGCAACCCTAGACATACCCCGCGCGAATTGAAGGCCAAGAGGTGTTCCGCGCGCGCGCGCACGCGCGCGAATTACTCGACTCGCCGAGTAATCTCCATTCGGCGTTTTCCCCTTTTTTTCCGACCTTCGCGGCGCGAGATACGACACGTGCCGACTATCGCGCGTTTTACGAGGCGTTCTTTCCGCGAAGAAGTGCCTCCAGCGGAGACATGCCTGGCGAATGTTGAACACATTCACGAGAGACTTTCAGCTCACGTGATCCGCGCTCCGACACACACGTGCACGCTGCGCCGTAATTGTGCATGTGACAATGCGGTAAAACGCGTCACGTGAATGCGGCACACTCGGCTTTATCGAACACTTGACGAGGCGAGCGCACCGCGAGCGGGCTTGACTTCGCTTGGCTCTCGGTTGACCTCGTTGGACGAGGAATCTTGTAATTCGGTGCTTATTGCTAACGATGAGTGCGATAATGCGCGGTGATACGAGGCCCGTCATCACGGGAGGGAGGGGGGGGAGGAGGCACTCGATGTGTGCTGAGAGATGATTGGACGTGGATCTTAAATTGCATACAAGCAACGCGGCGTTCGAGCAAGGTGCTCTGCACAGGCAGAACAGGAAATTATGATAATATCGAAATGACGCGAAAATGATTGAATCATGATGGAAGAAAAGAATTTTCCTCGTCTTTTTGACGTCATCATGATTTTCTGTCCCGCCTGGGAGCTTCTGCTCACGGCGGTGCAGTGCGCTTAATTTGACGCAGTGCTGTCGTACGCGTTGAGGATCCTCAACCCCCGCATGCGAGCGTCGTTGACGCAAAAGCGCGCAAAAACGAAAGCAATCGTCGTCGGTGTCGCCGACGACGCTGATGGGCTGAGAAAAAGACGCTTTCCCAGCTCTTCGGTCTAAATTTGAAACTTGATACTTTGCACGTTTTCAAGGCCGCCCGGCGCGAATGCGAGCGCGGATGCTTCGGGATCTCGTTCTGTCGGAGAGATCTCTGCGTTATGTTTCATAATAACAACAGCTCGAGTCTCGGGGAAACTTCCGGTCGCTCGACGAGCGATATCTCGATGGTAATTATTCTCGGTGATTAACGTTGAAGTTAAGGCGCGGGAGGTTCTTCAGCAGATTCTTCTCTTTTTAACTCAGAGAATTTACTTCTTTTTTGTCTCTTGTTGAAGTAAACAAAGAAACTTTAACCGTCAAGCTGCATTGTGTTTTTGTTTTTAAGCATCTGTTGGTTAGTTTAAATTTCAAAAAAGAAATCTTTGCACCCTCCCCCCTCCCCCCGTACGCTCACTTGTGCGATTTTGCCAGTGCGCTTACTTAAGGGAGGAATTACATGCGGAAGGATAGGTTATTTTCAAGGCTATTTTTACGAATTTTTTTTAACGAAAACGGAAAAATCAATGGATATGAAATTTTCACAGTGCATTCATTAATGTTCAAAGTGTAAGATAAATTTTATTGAATCACAAGAACCGATCTAATTTGTAATTACAGATAAAAATGCAGTCATTCGTTTGCGAGCTCTATGTTTGTTGTCGACATAATTCCGGGCCTCTCACTACTCTGAAACCAAAAAATGAGAAAGATTTTTAAAATATACGTTACGTTATAGCTATACTAAAATGAAGGGTGAAGCAAGTTGGAAAAATGACTGTAATGACTGACAAAAAAAAATACAAAATGAAACAAGTAATCATATAAAAAATAATAAAAAAAATATAATTGTGTTCGAGTAGGATGAAAACATGTTACTGATTTTTAATAATTTCAAGTTATTCGTTCAGTAATTTTGATAATGTTCGACAGTTTGCGAATGATGTTTAGATAAGCGTTTAATTTTATCTTACTTTCATATAGTATAACAATTTATTTTATACTTTGAACATTAATGAATAATGAACTGCGAAAATTTCAAGTCCATTGACTCTACCGTTTCCGTTAAAAAAAAAATTCGTAAAAATAGCCTTGAAAACGGCCTGCTCCGCATGTAATTCCCCCGTTAAGGATTGAGAGTAGAGTTTCCAATCCCGGATACAATTTAGGATCCCGGGATTTCGGGATTTTTTGGATTCCATCCCGGGATCTCGGGACTAGTCCCGGGATTATATATATGTAAGGAAAGAAACAAGGAATATTTACAAATAATAGAATTATTTTATTTATAGAACATTCACAGACTTTTATGAACATTATGACAAACAAAAAGTAAAATTTCAGTAAAAATAAAAGCAACTTACATTAATGATTGCACAAAAACCGTTACAATTAAAAATCAAAGTTTTTGTAATAAAAATAAAAATAATTATTTCTTCTTTTTCACATTGAAAAAGCGACTTTAAACATAATAAAACAAATTTTGTTAAAAAATATCTGATCGAGGATCCCGGATTCAAGTCTGTATTGCGCCAGTTTATCCGCGAAATTTACAATAGAAAACTCCCTTAATATTTAAAACAACTAAAAATAATACATGGAATTAAATTTAAAATATAAATACACACTTCTCTAGCGAATGCTCTAAAACATCAGTAATAAGTAATAATTATTAAAGTAAAATTTTTGTAAAACGTAAATATTATATAGACACTAAGCATCAAATTTTGAAATCCCGAAATCCCGGGATTTGTGATGTTGAATCCCGAGTATTTTCGGGAACAAAAATTTGGCCGGGATCCCGGGATCCAGGATCCCGGGATTGGGAACTCTAGTTGAGAGTGACGACGTGTTCTGTTTGACTTCGACCGGACGATTTCTCATTCCCGACGATGAGGATGCGCGGTCGTGCGAGTTCAACAACGACTTAGACTCGCGCGATGCCGACGGCGCGCGTTATCGCCCGCGAAATGCGCGTGTTGCCACTGTTCTTGTAATAAACGACGCATCCGTAGCTTACAGCTCGCTCACGCGTCTCCCGTTACTCGTGTGACCGCGAGCGCGAATCTGAGACATCCGAGGAAAGCCGGAGAAAACCTTGGCGCTAATGGTCAACGACTGCGCGCGATCAATCTGCGCGATGTTCCCCGCGCGTGTGAAAACGATTATCCGCCGCACCAACGGAAAATCGTCTCCAATTACTCGTGATTTATGACATTTCGGCAGCGCCGCATCATGTTTGTCAGTTTCTCGACGCACACCTCGGAACCGGTTGCTTGCCGCGCTCCAAAGGTCATAACGCCGCACACTTTGTCTACGCCGCGACGTAATATTTTTGCTCCTTTATTTGTTTATTTTTTTTCTCCTCACGTCGAGCGAAGTTACGATCGGCTGAAGCGTCAGGCCGGATTCGCGCTGTTTGTGTAGACGCCGGCAAACTTTTCTTTTTTAATAGGGATGGTTAAGATATGGCTGTGAGACGGATACCGCGAGTATTCCAATGCAAAAGCATCGAAGGACGAAGAACTGACGTTCTGTTTGCCGCTGTCTAAACGGATGTTGTGAGCTCAGCTTTCCACGAACGTGTCGCTTAACCCTTTAACGCCCGACTTTTTTATAAGTGTTTTAAAAATAAAATTTGAGTTTTTTTTTAACTGAGACCATAAGTAGTGATAACCAAAAAAAAATCAGAATTTTATATTGGTTTTTTTTTATCGTTCGTTTTTTGTTTATTGGTAAATATGACTTGGATTCTAAAAGCATATACGAAATGAGCAATACAGAGAAAAATGAAGGGTAATCTATACGACATAACTCTGATAGTCAGCTTGACATTTTTCAGCTGAAACGTTACTATATTTGTGAGTTTGAAGTGTGAGTGTGAAGTTTATCATTCAGAGCGTCAAGCTTACTATTTCAGAAGAGTATCTTCTAGATCACCATTCAGATAGTCAATCGTCCCTTCATTTTTCGCCGCATAAAAAGCGCTGTAGGTCACCAGGTTTCACGAAAATAGGTTGATTTCTTGAATTTCGTGTCTACCATATTGGATTCGCCATTTGGAATTTCTATATTCTTTTAATTTCACATTTTGCATCTGAGCAAACTTCCAAATGTATAAAATTATAACAGATATCAATCTATTCATTTATAGTGCACTTCTAGATGTCAGTAACAATGCTAACTACGCCTACTTGGAATTTGACAAAACATGTTATCATTAAAATTGAGCTAAAAACAGACTAACCCGAATTTACATACAATCTATATACCAGTCTTTAGTAACTACTATATAGTTACCAGTTAAAGGGTTAAAGGATTAAAGGCGTTAAAGGGTTAAAGAGAAACTGGTGAGGCAAAAGTACCGATATCAGGAGACCACCTAAATTTTCTGTAATGTCGAAAGTTAAAAATTGCAATTTATAGGCCAAAACAATGAGAATGTTTAGAGAGAAAGAAAGAGAGAGAGAGAGAGAGAGAGAGAGAGAGAGAGAGAAAGAGTTCGCTACTTGTACTCCTTGACATTGGTACTCCTACCAGTCGCGAGAGCAAAGATGGCCCGCGCGGAAGTTGCTTTCCGTCAGCATTTCGGCGCTCGAAACTCCCGACGAATCGTCCATCACCTCTCGGATGTGACTTTATTTCAGGAACGCCCGAATCAGCCGGTGAGTCGTCCACTGGCGACGAGGAGAGGATCGTGCCAAGTTCCGGTGCCGCGCCACGAACGTGACGGTCCTGGAGCGCATTGCGGTTCCCAGGATAACGTTCGCTTGACCGACTGTGATTCCGACGCGCGACGTCACTGCCAAAAATAGGGAAGAGAAGAAGAAGAGGTACGTGATACAAACGCGCCGATCGCGCTCCTGTGTCTTCGTTCTCTCTGCGGCTTCCGGTCTCTACTTCCTTCTTCGCCTTCCTTCGTCGACCTGCTCCTGCGAAAGTGGACAAGTGTCTTCCACACGTTGCGCCAGAAACATACGATTCGTTGTCTCACCCTGAGACCCCCACGTCTTCCGTGAGCTCAGCAAGCTTGGTCCTTTGAATCAAGAGGACGGGAATCCACTTCCTCCTTGGACTCGATCGGCGACACGAAGAAACCAAGACAGATTGATCCTTTATTGCCTTCCCGCCGGCCGAGACACTTCGCTCCGAGAGAATACTGCTTGACCAGGTCGCCAACTTGACCACGTGGCATCCTAGTCTACGGCTTCCTTCGTCCGGATCAACATCCGCAGAGTTCCCGAGCCTTCTTACTCGTCGCTGGACTATCCCGTGCTGTCGTTTCCGGGTTCGCTCGCGGTCCGAGCATCCCTTAGCGACTCTTCGCCTCAGGACACCGCGGGACGACGCCGTGACGACGACGACGACGACCGTCGAGAGGTGCGTGGAGCCGGCCGCGTGTGATGCGGCGCAGGCAGGGCCGCCGTTGCCTCGCGTCAGCTTGCGCGACCTCGCCGCAATAACGGCGAAGATGTTCGGGAAGGTGCCGCCGTCGAACACACCGGGCCCGCCTAATGGGATGACGCCCAAGTCGTGCGCGAGACCGGCTGGCACGGCCTCGTGCCTGCCGTGCTTCTCGGCGGAGGAGACCCCGAGCGTGGGCGTCGACGACAAGGCCAGACCTTGGCGGCCCAAAGACAACGTCGTCGGCGACTCGGTGGTCTCCGAGGTACCTTGCAACAACCTGCAACCACCAGCCGCCGCTCCGGCGGAATCGTCATCCGCGGTGGAGCTTCCTAGACCTTGTCGGACCGAGGCGACCGCCTGCCCGAAGACGACAAAGTGTACGACCAAAGAAGCGTCACAGATCGCCAAGAGCCACAATGCCAGCGCGAAGACGACCTCCGGGTCGTCGTCTCCGGCCGCTACCGCCACGCAGAAGTGCTCCTCTGGCCAGAGTAGCGCGAGTTTCCCCAAGACCACGACGTCCGGCGCCAGCAGGTCACGGAGGCTGCAATCTACCTCGATCACCGGTGTTGAATCATGCCCGAAGAAGACCGTCGGCCGAGAATCCGCGAGCGGCAAGGAGCATCAGACGGGAAACAGAACGGCGTGTAATGAACAGCAACTCAAGTTTACTCAGGGATACGCCGCTTCGACGATCATGAAGCTACCTTCCACGAGGTCTTCCGAGCTCATCCATCCGACGCTGAGCGGGAAAAGGCCTGACAATGAGGAGCCTCTCGCGGACGCGTCCGCGATTGACGCGTCCAACGTTCCGATCGTGAACGAGCTGTGCGCGTATCAGAAGTCGTCGGCGAAAACGACCGTCGATGTGAAGAACGACGCTTCCGGCGATTCCGTGGAGTTGGCCAACACCTGCGAGGACGACTCTTGCGCCGCTGACCTCGTTGCCTCGACACTATCCAAGGACTGGACGAGGCCCGACAACGACGCGCCACCGCAGGACCTGCCGACCGAGCTGCGGTCGTCCTCGCCGCGCAGCTACAAGGAACGAGAGAAATGTCGCGATCCTTGGCGACCCACGGAGATGGACGGCGGCGGCGTGCATGGCTTGAGTGTGTGCACCGGCGAGGCGCTTCAGGACTCAAGCTCCAAGAGGCGCACCGGCGCGTCCTGCCAGGCGCTCAGGCACGCCGTCGCGTCGCTCAATCGCCTGGACGACTTTTACATGGAGAAGATCGGCGCGGGATTCTTCTCGGAGGTGTACAAGGTAAGCCGAGTCCATTCAGAGAAAGTAGAGAAAGGTCGCGAGGAGAAGAGTATATCGTAATGGGTATGAACCGAGGAGAGCATCGTAATGAGAAGTTAGGAAATTCGAGGCCGAACGGAGCTGAAAAGAGAAAATCGCGAGCGCCTTAGCGCCTTACGCCTCTCGGTGCAAGGTGGGAAAGAATGTCTGATGGGGGGAATTTACATGGTGCGTCGGTTTCCCGTACATAATTGCATACTCGCAATTCGAGATCTCTGCGGAGACGAGAGACGCGTTCAAGTTCCGCTCAAAATATATTCATCATCTGAACGCACAGTGTTTCGCTGCCGGACAAAATGAGTTTTACGTGAAAACTGATGTCGTCTGTGTTGCTGTTGGATTTTGTTTCTCTTTTCTGATTCTTGAGACACTTTGAAGCCGACACTTTTCCAGCGCCGTTCTTTTAAAATTCGGCATTTCGAAATTTTGGCGAGTAGCCTAATGTTGTTTTTGGGATGACCGATATTGTAGCAAGAATTGTACTGTGCAGATATCGTGTTGGGAAAAATACTCTGATACGTTGAATTTCGTGCTGGACTGTAGAAATATTTTATCGGTTTGTCAAAAAGTGAAGCCACAGTTGCCTCTATTAAAGGTCACGCGCGCGACAATTGGTCCACGTGATATCCAAAACAGATAAATTCCAGAACAAGCGGAATCATCTGAATTTTAGAGAATTTTATTCTTATATGTGGCCTCAAGAGGATTAAGATTAAGATCTCTCTAAGATTAAGAAGAAAATATTATAAACACATTATTCTTAAAATTAATGGAATTATATGTTATATGTATAATGCAAATCTTATTGATTTTAATATAAATTTCCTCTTATACACAGGTTATTTAATCTTTTTTTTTAAAAGGATTATTATTTATTCTTACTGATTATATGTTCCTTTATAGGGGAAGGAGAAAAAATTATTATGTGACTCCGGAAAAAATTCTAGTTAAATTTTTTTTTACTTTCTGCTGAAAAAGTAGGAAAAACGTAAATTTGTCATTTTAAGTACTCTAAATAGCATTTAATGTGCAACGCGACACGATAAATGGATATACTACATGGGCTGAAAAGTCTTTGGCTTAACAATGAAAAAACGATTTTTTTAATGAAAAAAGTGTTTTATTCCTCGACATAATCTCCATTTAGAGTAATGCACTTAGTGTAACGGTCCGCTAATATTTCGATGCCGGTCTTATAGTGCTCGGTGTCAAGTCCCTCAAAATAGGCATTTGTTTCCAACTTGACCTCCTCATTCGAGTAAAATCTTTTACCAGCGAGCCACTGCTTCAGTCGAGGAAAAAAGAAATAGTCGCTGGGGGCCAGGTCTGGAGAATACGGGGGATGCGGGACCAATTCATAGCGCAATTTCTTTAATTTATCGGTCGTATCGCGAGCCGAGTGAGCTGGAGCATTGTCTTGGTGAAACAAAATTTTTTTCTTTGCCAAATGTGGCCGTTTGATCTTGACCTCGTCGTCCAATCGATCCAGTAATGTACAGTAATATTCTTTATTGATAGTTTTACCAAGTTCAAGATAATCAATGAATATTATGTTATGCGCATCCCAAAAAATACTGGCCAAAACCTTGCCGGCTGATTGTTGTGTCTTCGGGCGCTTCGGACGGCTTTCACCAGGCAATAACCACTCCGCTGACTGCCGATTGGACTCCGGTGTATAGTGATGGATCCATGTTTCATCCATTGTGACAAATCGACGCAAAAATTCCTTCTTATTGCGGTTAAACAGGGCCAGATTTTGCTTTGAAAGTCGAACACGTTCCGCTTTTTGCTCAATTGTCAAAAAACGCGGCACCCAACGCGCGCAAAGCTTTTTCATGTGTAAATATTCATGAATGATATGACCAACGCGTTCCTTTGAGATGCCTATGATGTTAGCTAGCTCACTCAATTTCATTTTGCGGTCATTCAACACGATTTCACTGATTTTCTGGATGTTTTCTGGAGTAACTGCCTCATTTGGCCTTCCTGAACGTGGTGCATCATTTGTGCTCGTACGGTTACGACGAAACTCAGCAAACCAATATTCGATGGTTGAATTCGGTGGGGCAGATGTGCCGTAACATTTATCAAGCCATGCCTTTGCTTCAACAGTGTTTTTTCCCATCAGGAAGCAATGTTTAATCAAAACACGAAATTCACTTTTTTCCATAGTAAAGATAAATTCAGAGGTAACGTCACTTCGAAAGCTATAACTTGTACACGAGTCAACGAAATATCATGAAATTTTTACAGCATCTAAGTTAAGGTTGGTACTCTATAGGAAATATAAGGATTTTTAGTTTGTGGCGCCATCTATATGTCAGGCCAAAGACTTTTCAGCCCATGTAGTATGTATGTACTTACGCTGAAATATGGGCCTGTATGTCTTTAAGTTGATTTTCTCCAGAAATTCTTGAACTTCGTTTATGACAAAACAATCGGGAAGAACAACACAAACTGAATAACTAAATAACGATCTCTCTTCTTTTTTTTTTGCTCCAGACGTTGTCCATAAAATAAATGTGGCGACGATCGTCATATGCACAGAGAGAGTGTCTCTGCGTGAGTAGATGGAAGAGGAGAAACGCCGACAAGCGTTCCTCTTGATATAAGAGGAATATTAATTGATATAAAAGAAAATCCTCTTGAAATAAGAGGAAAATAGAATAACATCTGATAAATTTTAGATGAATGGTTCACTTTAATCGCTTTATCGAAAGAGGAATCCTTTTCCTATCAAAGGCTCCGCTTAGAATATGAGACTAAAAGGAAAAATCACTTTACACATAGAATACTTTTTTTTGGGTGGATCAATGTCGCTGAGCCGTCGAAGATGCTGTCGGACGTGGAGGTGCTTAATTTCCGTGGAAACGCTAGAAAGTGTTCGCTCGTGGACGGCGCGTTTCCTACTCATTCTCGTTCGCGAACAGTATCGCACGATTCGGAAAGGTCATTCCCGATAGCGGCGGCCTGCGGAATGCGTTATCGCTGCAGATTAATATCTCGGAGATTAGATACGCCTGCTCGTAGCGGCAGCGAGCGCGCCGAGTCACGTGAAATGAATTCCGCTCGTAATCACACGGTTGCTCGTCGCTAACGAGCCATCGGAGATCTTTTTCGTCCCTCCCGAATGAATCCCTCGCTCCGGGACCTGCCCTTTCCTCGCTCTTTCACCCATTAAGTTCTATCGATTGCGGAACGGGGAAACCGCGCGCGGAGGATGTTTTTCCGCTCGCGATTCCGCATTGCACGAGCCGCCAGCTCTGAGCTGTGAAGAGAGCTGCCAATATTTCGCCGCGAGTAGAGTTAGAAGCAGATTAGAAAATTAGTATTAGATTTAAAATTAGTAGTCGAGTACTTCGTAAAATCGTAAGTGAGTGAGTGAGAGAGAGAGAGAGAGAGAGAGAGAGAGAGAGAGAGAGAGAGAGAGAGAGAGAGAGAGAGAGAGAGAGAGGCGGAGAGGAAGAGAAAATTGAGGATACCAGGCGGTCTCCGCCTTCTCTTCGTTCTTTGAGTCATTAAGTCCCATCGATTAATGCCGCGATAAGAGGTAGGAAGCTGCGGTGAATGTCTTTCTCCAGCGGGAAATCGCTGTTTCCAATTATACACCGCCGAGCTAACGCTGACGCTTTACGCTAACAAGATAAGGCGATAACGCTACGCGGCGGAGAGAACGTGTTTAAACGGCCGAAAATATTTCGATAAGGCGTAGATTATCGCCCGATGACGCCTCTCTCTCTCTCTCTCTCTCTCTCTCTCTCTCTTTCTCGCGCGTATTCTCTGCGTGTACGCGTGTTGTGTTGCGAATGTGCGAGACATCGCGACGAGACGACTTGGAGAACAGTGTCACGGCGGTTTACGTAAATCATAATGTTGATTCGCGACGAGCAGGAGCGCATAATTATCAAAGAGTTCCATCCTTGACCTCATTTTCCCCGACTGATCTCGGAACACCTTGGAATTTTATATAACGCGGTGCTCGGAGGAAGATCGATGCGTCGCGTTTTCTCCCGGTCCGGCGAGTGCCGGATCTCCGCGAGGAAGAGATATTGCGCTCGTCCGAATCGCTCAAGGAGCGCGCGGGAAGTGTGCTATCGCATGCGAGTACTTCGAGGATCCACTCGAGGCATCATAGAAATCCTGCGCGCTCGCGCGCGCGCGCGCGAGAGCATGGACTTTCACCGAGTCCGCAAAAATCCGCCGCGCGGGATCATTTTGCCGGGAAGCGGAGTAGCGACGTTGACGCAAGTCCCTCGGTTTTTCATCTTCATCTTCTGGACCGGGCGAACTTGGCAGTGACGAACGGACGACCGCTCGTGGAGATCCTATCGAGTAGACGAAAATTGCGCGGGCCTTCACGCGCGATCCTCGGTTCAGATTGCGACGCGGCTCCTCCCGCGATTTTTCACGGCGCTTTCCTCGACTTTGATCGGTCGCGAGGACAGGCGTCGCCAGGATCTTATCGAGCACGTGAAAACCACCCGCTCTCCCCTCTCCTCTCCGAGCGCTTCTCGAGCAGATAACAACGAGGCGATTGCAGACGCGTAGGCAGATTACGCCAATTAGACTCGCGGAGTCAACACGCGGACGTAAACAAATGGCACCGCTTAATCGGCGAGTCGATGGCTGCGTTCAGCAGAACTCAGCGCTATGTAAACGGTTTAGTGATACATTGCAACAGTTTGGATGTTCTGCTGAATGCTCTTTGTACTCGTCAGAGTGATACACATATATATATATTATATAGCTATATATATATATTATATATATATTATATATATAATATAGCTGAATATATAATATAGCTGAACAAGAAAAATGCATGTAGAAATATTTTACAGCAAGTAATGAAAGGTTAGTTCGATGTTTACGAATATATATATATATATATATTTGTAAACGTCGAACTAACCTTTCATTATTTGCTGTAAAATAGTTCTACATGCATTTTTCTTATTCAG